ATGAGTATACAGCGATTTGGTAGCGAGCGAGTTGGGCATGCGTTGCCAACCACTCCTAAGATAAGCTTACAAAGGGTGCACACCAGAGCTAGTTCAAAGTACAAATTCAAAATATACAAAATTCAAGAGATACAAAATTCAAAATGAAATGCACACTAGTAAGCTAGCTACAAATTGTGTTAATTAAATATAAGTGTTGCAGTGCTCGCGTAGCCATCCTCCCGGCCCTGGCCGCGTTAGGCGGCTAGTGCATCCTTCAGCTCCCGTAGAGCCCTCATTGCCTCGTGAACCAAAATTTTGGTAGCCTTGCTACGATAGCCAGCAGTTTGGAATCCCTTCCTCGTGAAGCGCACTTTACGGTTCCCTCTGGTGGGATGGTGTCGGGTGTGGTTGTAGGGCGGTGATGTACGCCCTGATCCCCCACGTTGGGGAGCGTTTTTGTTTGTCTGGTCGAGGCGTTTGGGGGGCTGCACTGCGGAGTTCGCCCTCGTGCGGCGGGCTGCCGGTATACCATTCCGGTGCAGTAGTGTATGATGCTGTAGAGAGCAAGTGCGGCAGGTGGTAGTGGACGTGCACTGGGCGGTCGGATGCGAAAGCGTCAGGCAGTTCGTGCAGTACTTGTGCGCCCTTGCCAGTAAGAAGCGCTGCTGTGGCTGTACGCCTAAGAACGCTGGACATACTCGGAGCGCATGATGACCGGCGCACAATCGGCACCGCTTATAATCCTCCGTGGGATGATTCGCCGAACGTATGCTGTGGGTGGTTCCAATCTGCGACTTTAGGAACGTTCGCGGTGCTGGCTGAGGTGCCTCATCGTGATCCATCTGGAAAAAGTTTGTATACGGAAATTTTTAGTGTTACGTATATTAATATATGGGAGGCATAGGAGAGAGATACGAAAGTGTATATGTATGTGTGGTGTGTGAAAATCGATGTGCAGCCATTTGGCTGCTTATTCAAGTGAGGAGTTTATGGAGTGCTAATCGGTTTCAATGCGAGAGGGGGTATCTTCGCTCGAAGGCAAAAATACTAATTTTACTAATGGCCGAGTGAGTAGGCCTGTTTGGGTGCGGACGTCGACCACACGAATGTGTCCATCCTTGCCAGGGTGCAACCTTTCGATGCGGCCCAGGCGCCACTCCGTGGGCGGGAGTGTGTCATCATTAATGACTACGCATTCTCCGATTCTGGGTTCTACTTGAGCGTTCTTCCACCTGTGTCGCTTATGTAGGTCTTTAAGGTAGTCTTCCTTCCATCGATTTGCGAATTGGTGGTGTAAAACCTTGAGTTTTTCCCATCTATTAATGAGCGAGAGGTTTTCGCGATTAGATTCGGGGAATGATAGGAGGGGAGCACCCCGGAGAAAGTGGCCAGGTGAGAGCGCTGTAAAGTCCGTCGGGTCTTGGGTGAGTGGGGTTATCGGACGAGAATTTAATACAGCTTCTACTCTTATTAAAAGGGTAGTAAACTCCTCAAACGTAAATTTATGGGGCCCGGCAGTCCTTTTGAAGTGAAGTTTAAAACTTTTAACGGCAGACTCCCATAAGCCACCCATGTGCGGGGCGCTGGGAGGTATAAATTGCCAATTAATACCCTGGGGTGAGTATTTTTGGACAATATCACGGGATGCAGTTTGGAGGAAGACAGAGAACTCCTTTTCAGTGGCTCTTTTGGCTCCTATAAAAGTTTTGCCATTGTCACTCATCATTTTAGCGGGGTAACCACGGCGACCAACAAAACGAGCAAAGGCGGCGAGAAATGCCTCTTTGGTCAGGTCTGAGCACAGCTCGAGGTGTACCGCCTTTGTTGTGAAGCACACAAAGACGGCCACATAGCCTTTCACTAAAGTGGGAGATCTTAGCATGGAGGCTTTTATTTGAAAAGGCCCAGCAAAATCAACACCGGTGGTGGTGAAGGGCGGAGCGAAGGTGCATCGTTCGGGCGGCAGGGCAGCCATAATCTGCGAGCGCATTTGCCGTTTGTGAATGGTGCAGGATTTACATTGATAAATGCATTTTTTGATGAGGGGTTTTAGCCGGGGAATATACAATTCTTGCCTGGTCATCTGCTGCATAAGTCGTACTTCTGCATGGAGCAGGAGATCATGGAGAAATTTTAGATAGAGGAATGCGAATCGGGACTTTTCCGGAATTATAATGGGGTGACGTTCGTTATAGCTCAGGGTAGCATGAGCAAGGCGTCCATTGACGCGGATAACTCCATTTTTATCCAAGAAGGGGTTAAGAACTAATAGTGAACTCTTTTTGTCAATGGGTTTTGAGTCTTCTAAGCGGGCTTTTTCATGGGGGAAGTGACGGGTTTGCGTAAGGATGATCAGACGAATTTTCGCTTGGCGGAGCTCATCATGTGATAGCGGGGATGATGCGCGGTCAGAAGCTCCTGTCCCTTTGTCCTTTAGTCGTCTGATGAACTTGAAGACGTAAGCCATCACTCTCAAGGCTCGAGAGAAAGAGGAAAACCTGTCCAGAATGTCGGGGTCTTCTTCGGTAGTGAGGAGTGCCTCCACTCTTCGTACTTCCGGGGGGTTGACATTGCGGACTGGGGGTTTTGGCCATCCTTCGGGGGGCTTGGATAGCCACTCAGGACCATTCCACCATAACGACGACGCTGCTAAGTCTAGTGGCTTGCAACCCCTTGTGCCCATATCTGCGGGGTTGTCGCTGCTGCATACATGTCGCCAGGTGGCGTTTCCGACGAGTTCCAAGATCTCCGCGGTGCGATTAGAGACGAACGTTTTCCAAGAGTGGGGTGGTTTTTCCAGCCATGCCAATACAATTTCAGAGTCAGACCATAGTACCAGTTTTCTTTTAGAGAGGTCGAGATGGGACTGAATAGCTGCGACAAGTTTGGCTAAGAGAAGAGCTCCGCAGAGCTCAAGCCGAGGTAAGCTAGTTGTTCGAAGGGGTGCTACCTTGCCTTTGGAAACCAGAAGATGAGAAGAGATACTGGAACCATGAGTAGTTCGAACATATACGTTAGCACAATATGCCTTTTCTGAGGCGTCACAGAATCCATGGAGTTCAACATGCTGGTCAGGAATAAAATTTACCCATCGTGGAATTTGAATGGTCGAGATTGTGTGGAGATTTTGTGCGAACTGAGACCATTTAACAAGACGGAGGGGCTTGACTTTTTCGTCCCAGTCAGTTCCGTCGATCCAAAGCTCTTGTAAGAGAATCTTTGCCTGGATCATTATCGGCGTAAGCCACCCTGCGGGGTCAAAAAGTTTCGCGACAGAGGAGAGAATCTGTCGTTTAGTGCTAGCAGATAAGGCTGGGATGGAGTCGATCGTATAGGAAAACGTGTCTGTGAGCGCGTTCCATTGGATCCCTAGAGTCTTTGTGGTACTTGCCTTTTCGAACTCGAGAAAATTAGTATCGAGCAAGTCCTCTTTCCTTATATTTTTGAGAATTTCTGGGTGGTTCGCTGTTATTTTCTTTAAGGGAAAGCCTGCCGAGTTTAGAGCCTGAATGACTTGGGTGAGAGATTGAGTGGCGATTGTCAGATCGTGGCTGCCAGAGAGTATGTCATCCACATACGTCTCTTTATTCAGAATGTGGGCGGCCATTGGGTAGTTGGTTTTTTCATCTTGTGCTACTTGGTGAAGTGTGCGAATGGCGAGGTAGGGCGCACAGTTTACACCGAATGTGACCGTTTTTAATTTATAATCTTGAATGGGACTGGTTGTGGGTGAACGAAAGATTATTCTTTGAAAGTCCTGGTCTTCGGGATGTAGCAGTATTTGTCGGTACATCTTTTCGACATACCATTAAATACAAATTTATACATTCGCCACTTGAGGATGAGAAGCATCAAATCAGGCTGGAGAGTTGGTCCGGTATATAATACATCGTTAAGAGAGTAACCGGATCCCGAAATCTTTGATGCATTAAAGACAACTCGTACCTTTGTCGTTCGTTTTTCGGGCTTAATGACCGCATGGTGAGGGAGATAGAACGACATGTACTTGCCTGAGAGGAATTTTTCTTGGGAAACCGTTTTTTCCATGTGGTTTAGGGTGAGGTATTCTTCCAGGACATTATCATATGAGGCCTTTAAATCGCCCTTTTTGAGGAGGTTTCTCTCCATTCCGAGAAATTGCTGAAGCGCTGAAGAGCGAGAGTAACCTAAAGAGATTTCTTTGGGGAAACTTGGCTTGAACGGAAGCCTGACCACATAACGACCATCAGAGTTGCGAGAAGTGGTGGATTTATAGAAATCTTCGCAAAAGTCGTCTTCAGGGGTGGTATGCTTGAGGTTTGGAACTTCTTCTAGTTCCCAAAACCGACGCAATTGTGAGTTGAGGTGCTCATTAGAAATTTCCTCTATTTGTGTAGAGTATGAAGCTATGTTTTCGTAAATCTGACCACTAAGTATCCAACCGAATATTGTCTTTTGAGCTAGCAGAGTTGGTGAGATTTTTTCAATGCCCTCCTCGATTATTTGAGGGATGACATCACTGCCTAACACGAGGTCAATCTGGGATGGGGAGTGGCAGTTTGGATCTGCCAGTTCAAGATGGGACCATTTTTCTTTGTGGTCATGATTAAGTGGGAACTTGGGGAGCATTTTTGTCAGCTGTGGTAACACGATAGCTTGAGCATTTATTTTAGTTTGGAGATCGGCGGAAACCAAGACTAAAGAGCATAATTTGTTCGAAGTTTGAACAACTCTTCCACCCATGCCCGAGATTTCAAATTTTGAGGATTTGCAGGGCAGCCCTAGCTTATTTTGAGCTTTGGTGGAGATAAAGCTTCGTTCTGACCCCTGATCTATAAGAGCTCTGAGTTTAAATATTTCTCCTCGGTGTGATACCGGTACCATAGCTGTCGGGAGGAGTATTTTGCTCTCATTCTCTGAATAGAATGATTGCACCTGAGTTCCAACTGCTTCCTGTTCATTAGTGTCTGTTTGGGGTGAAGTGTGCACACTTGAGTTTGTAGAAATTGTGGTTGCCACTTGCGAAGTGGTTTTTTGTACTCTTGGGGGTTGCCTTTTCGGCATGGAGTTTGTGGCTTCATGGAGCACTGAGTTGTGCCGTTCACTACAATGGCTACAAGTTTGTGTGCTAGGTCAATCTTTCAACAAGTGTGACTGTGATAGACAGTTGAATCACATATTATTTTCTCTTACGAACTTCTTGCGATCAGAGATTGACAACTTTCGGAATTTGAAGCAGTTCCACAGCGAATGAGAGGAGGTCTTACACATCGAACATTTGTGCATTATTCGCTGCTCTGTCACGTGAGATTGTATTTGTGACATCGATCTGTTTTGAAAGTTTTGAGAGTGAGGGGGTTTAAAAGGTGGTTTGTTATAAGAGAAAGGCGGCTTTGAAGAGCTAGTGGGCTGAACAGGAGGTCTCGCCTTCGGCAGGCGCCATTGATCAACTCTTTCGGCCACTTCATAACGAGTAGTGAGAAACTGGTCCATTTGGGACCAGTTGGGGAGGTCTTTCCTCGAGCTGAGGGATTGTTCCCACAGGGATACTGTGGTTTCGGGAAGCTTAGAGGTGACTATATAGATGAGGATGGGGTCCCAATTCTCGGTTGAGACTTGCTGAGTTGCGAGAATTTGAAGGCAGTTGTTTACAGAAGACTGCAGCCTTTGTATGTCTTCGCTGCTTTCGGTGGGAATGGGTTTGAGGTTCATTAAGATTCGTATTTGGTTGTCTACCAAAATACGCTTATTCTCATATCGAGACCGAAGTGCTTCCCATGCGAGATTAAAGCTTTCATCACAGAGAGAGAATTGCTTTACTATTTGATTGGCTTTACCTTGAGTTTTGTACCTGAGATGGTACAACTTTTGGCCTTGGGTGAGTTCAGGGTGATTTATGTATACCGCTGTGAACATATCCCGGAAAGAGGGCCATTGTTCATAACTTCCGTAAAATACTTCGGTGTCACAAGGAGGGACGGTTAAGCCGAGGCCAGACTGGCGTTTGGGTTGTGATGAAGAGGGAGTAGGCATGGGAGTGCTCACTTGCTTATGAAGATGGAGCTGGTCAGCGATTTGAGCTTTAGTGTCTTCATATTGATCGAGACAAGACCGATATTTGCGAAAAGCACTTGCTTTGAAATCTTCGGGAAGGTCTTGCTCGTCTGCCTCTACAACTACATCATAAGAGTTTTGAACTCGATTCCAAAAATTGTCTAAACTCGTATCTTTTATTTTCAGGCTTGATTCTGAGTTATTTTCGAGAGGTAGGGATTTGAATCTTGAACAGTAATCGACTAAATTATCAGTCTCTGCAATAAACTTAACGGAGGCCAATTGCCTTTGTTTTTTTGAAGTTTTCCCGCTTGAGCGGGCAGAGCATTGAGTTTCGATCGCAACGATTTTCTCTTCATCACTCATTTTGGGAATTTGGGATTCTTCGTTAAGCCCCGAGAAAATTTATAATTTAGTCTGAAAGGACTGGGGTTGAGAGACTGAGAGAGAGGGATGCCTGAGGGAGATGCAAAGAACTCGAGAATACTACAAGAATAAAAATTTTTTTTTTTTTTTTTAAGTAAATGCGATTCCTCTTACAGGAATGCCAGAGAATTTAATGCAATTCCTTTTTAAGGAAATGCCAGAGAATTTAATGCAATTCCTTTTTAAAGGAATGCCAGAGAAGTAAATATACAGTGATATAATATGAGTGAGTAAATAATTAAATGTGTCAGTTTTGCGATTATGTCAGTGCTCGGTCGCGAATTAGAGAAAAATAGAGATTTAATTTATTGACTAATTTATTTATTTACCCGTTTTTGAGAATAGAGTTATTTCGAGAAACTTGCTCAACGAATGAAAGTGTACGAGAAAATTTTAGTTTATGTAGATGCAAGTTTTTTTTTTTTTTTTGTTTTTCACGCGACTGTAACCACAATTTTATGTATATATAAGAGACTACACAGTAGAAGAACGAGAATGCGCTTTAATTACTTTTGGTGAAATGCAAATTTAATTCACGGGACTGTAACAATGGTATTTGTATATAAGCGCCGTCAGCTTTTATTTATTAACTTTATTGCACTGCAAACCGACCACTGTATCGCACTTTTTATATGTAGATATGTATGGGATTGTGTGTATATAAGTATGCCTATGTGTTTATATATGTGTGTTTATATGTCGCTTTGTAATATTATCTCACTTGTGCACCTTTGTTGTCGTGAAATCGAAACTTTTATTTTAAACAACTGCTGAGAAAATGTTTAGAATTTATGTATTATTACGAGCAAACGTTGTGAGGAATTTAAGTTTGTATACATAAATATCAATCAGAAGTTATATTTGATTTAGTAAAGCGAATGTGGGAGGAGAGGGAATAGAAAATTGTCTATGTACTTGTAAGTAGATATGTATATATATGTGTGGACTGTATGTATGAAAACGCTTGAGCGGGAAAATATGTACAAATAGGCGGGAAGAGAAATCAGTACATATGTACATGCATATATGTATGTATTTTCGATATACGGGATATTGGCTTTCGGTACTTATTTACTCGAAAACTTGGAAATATACATATATATGCACGAAGTTCTAAAAAATTCTTTAACGGACTGAGGATGCCGTTTTTTTTGGAAAAAGGCGCACAAGATTTTTACGAATTTTAGGTTACTTTTTTTTGAAGTACTTTAATGCGATATATGTATGTTTGTATAGTGTAGTTACCGTGGGAATAAGTATGTAGCACTAAGAAATAATAGGCTTACTTACGGTTTACAAAGGGACTTTTTCTAATACTTGCTGCTGGTTCGGGGTCTGCTGGCGCAGAAGGACCAAAATGGCGATTGCTTCTCTTCCTTCTTCAAATGGCACGGAGTAGGTGGTGGCGGTGGCTTCCTTATGATACGTGGGGTGCTGGCGGTTGACGACTGCAGACGTAGAAATAGCTGGGAATGATCAATCGGTGCGGGCGGCCCTGTGGTGGCGACGGCTCCGGAGGTGGTGGCGTGGAAATACACTTACACTTCGACGTTCCAGGCGGGATGCTGAGTTTGCATTAACCAGCGAAGCACCAGTGCTTAATGCTGCGCTATAGGCACTTAATTGTTTAGTAGCACAGCGTGCTGCCTTAGGGATTCGCTCTATATCGCGAATTCTGCCTTTAAGGATTCACTATTATATATCGCGAGAAAATTAACAATTTGAACAATTTGGATTCACTTTGTGTTTGAACAATTGATTTATTAAAATTTCAGGCTTCTATTATGCGAGTGTACAAAATGTGGAGGTTTAATAGGTTTAATGAAATATTTCGCGCACGAGCACTGCAGTTACGTCTATATAAGCGAAGAAATAAAATTGTAATAATACAGCTGTCAAAAGATGCAAAGCATATATATACATACAAATGAGTATACAGCGATTTGGTAGCGAGCGAGTTGGGCATGCGTTGCC